TTTTAAAGAACAAGACATGAGCCTAATTAAGATTTACCCACCTTCACATAAGCCTCCTCATATCCATCTGGGTTCATGGAAGGCAGGAGGTGGATTCGCGTCTCGGTGACCAGCCGTACAATACGCTGGTTGCCCTTTTTGTATTCTTTGCACATATACTGCATGAGGTTTAGGACAAGCTCTCGACCAAGAGCTTCATTTCCATGCATCCCTGCCACGTAGCGAAACTCAGGTTCCCCTGCCAAGAGGAAAATTTAGAGCCACTTTACATGCCAAGGAATAAAAAAATGTGGAAGAACTGACTGGGGCACTTCTAAAAGGAGGTCATATTAAACATTATCTAAGATTTTAAGTTTATTTTTGTTTTCTAAAGCTCAGCAGCACACTAGGAGGACATTTAATTGCTCAGATAAAGCAGTCTGTGTTAGGCAACAGTTTGGCGCCAGGCATTTCTAAGTACATGACTCCAAAGACCTGAAGTCTGGGCTTTTACCACAAAAATAAAATATGTTCAAGGCCTCAGTGTTTTCTCTGAGACTTGGCACTGATCACTACTCCATGAAATCAATTAAACAGCTGCTGACGCATAAGAGCAAAATGCCTGGGAGCAAAGTGATTTTAAAACGTGTTTATGGCATTTCTCTTAAGAAACAAAGACAAGCTGTACCATACTTGATTTTACTAATCTTGCTGGCAGATGTTGATTGGCCACAGATCACATTTAAACCCAAGCCTGTATCTAATGGCAATGGTTCAAAGAAATAAAATCATTTGTTTATACAAGAGAGGCCTTCTCCTCAGGACCCCTGCCTCCCTGTGTGGGGCTGCTGCAGAAATCAGGCTGTATAAACAATGGTGGACATTGAACTGCACCTCTGAGCTGCGAAACTCTGGGTAACTTGAGAAATATGACAAACCAGAAAGTTTCATTCCAATATCTTCAAGTCTTACCGATTTCGTGTTTGCCCGGGTTATCTGAGATCTCCATAACGTAGAGTTTGAGGCCCATGTAGCTCCTCCCTATAGTGTAGACGCGGGTGATGTCGGGACACTCCTCCGTCACAGACTTCATGAGCTTCAGGGTTCAGAAAACACGCTTGAGTGTAAGGCTTAAAAGGGTTAAAGCTGAACTTTTACCAAATCTGCAAACCGTTAAGAGCATGAGTAAAAACCCTGGTGTTTATGGGAAAGCCACTCATCCTGTAACTTTCCTAACCTTTCTCATCTCTTTGTAGTTGTGGTGTCTAAAGTCCAGAGCATCCTTGGATCCTGATTCATGCGTTGAGTAAATGTCAGATGGATCTTAAAGAAAGTAGCAGATGTTTCCAGTTACATATTTTCTTTTAATTGACTTTCGGAGGTCAACATCTTAATGTATTTGAACATCCACAGTAAATGCTGTGTCCCTCTCGCCTACTGTTTTTTTCCCCTACCGTGAACACGGCAGCCAAGTATTTCAGTCCTGAGGCAGACGGTCCCGTTGGAGTACCAGGTCTGTGGGTTGATGCGGATGAAACGGGCAACGGTGGGAACAGGAAGGAGCCCAAGAACCGGCGTCTCAGGATTCTGGTTTCCTTCAAATAGCTGCACAATTCAGTGTGAGTTCATATAAGTTTGTGGAGTCATGGAAAAAAGATAGCAGACCCTAAGGTTTTGTATATAAGGATAACATAAAAGTAATCTGGCCTTATCAGGTTTTATTTACGATGTTTATTAGGCCATTTCCAAAGAACTTAATTCTAAAAATAACATGCCACCACAGCTTATGTGTGCAAAATTGCCTCAGAACAACCACAAGGCATCTGGAACAATGTCCTTTGAAGAGATGGGATGTTTGGCCAAAATGCACAGTGCTACGTTTGGAGAAAACTAAACGCAGCGTATCGGCACAAACACCTCATACTAACTGTCAAGCACGGTGGTGCGGTGCTTATAATTTGGGCTTGTTATGCAGCCACGAGACCTGGGTACCTTACACTCATTGAGTCGACCACGGATTCCTCTGTATACCAAAGTAGACAGACAAATGTGAGTCCATCTGTTGGACAGCTAAAACTTGGCTGAAATTGGGTCATGCAAAAGGAAAATGACCCCAAGAAAATCACAGCAAATCTACAAAAGAATAGCTGAAAAAGATGGTGTTGCAATGCACCAGTGAAAGTCCAGACATTATGAAGGCAAACTTCAGTGAACTGCAACAAGATTATAAAGAATAGTGCGCCAAAATTCCTCCACAACGATGTGAGAGACTGATAAAGTCGTAGACAAAACAATTCAAGTCGTTGCTGCTAAAATAGGTGCTACAAGCTCTTGAATCGTGGGGTTGACAGGACAGTGGAGGAAGAACATGCAGGAAATGGGCCTGAGTTTGATTCTGCAGTTGCCTTTTAGTAGATGGTTTGCCTGCTCGGCCCACTGTGCTAATGATTACAACACAAATATAGCTGAAAACATGACCTTCTTGGCAGAGTTAGCAATGGCTTTAAAATGAAGTGGAAAACTTTTGTTTTGCCTTCATTTCCTTGGAAAGAGCTTGGACTTTCCAAAATATGTGGCGTCAGGCAAAAAAAGAGTTTGAACTGCAGTTTTCAGTCAAACCTTAAATTTCTTTGTACACACTGCATGCTGGAACATTGTTCAATTATGTACTTTAGTTTGTTTATATAGTGTGTTATAATGAGTTAAAGGCCACCCCCGAATTTCAGTTTTTGCCGTACTGTATTTGTTTCACTCTGAGTCCTCTCTAATCTGCACCAATACTTAAGGTTTTGGTTTACAGTCTATATTTCACTTTGGCAGAGAAACTTCAAAATCTGTTTTCCATCTATGTTCCTTAAATCGCAGAATAGAAGAAGTAGTTCTCACCGCTTCCTGCGTCCCGTTCATGGAGGTATGCCAGGTTACAGAGTCATTACTCAGCTGAACTTTGTAGGTTTCGACCCAGTCCCAACTATGACATAGACCAAAAAGGAAAACAAACATATATTTTTTCAGTGAGCTCATTGCAGCGGGCAGCCAAAGAATACCACAGCACTCCATCTTTGCTTTAGACAGTATGTTCAATGAAGAGCTAATGTCCATAATGCTAACAAATTATTTTGATTTTCAGCTTTAATCCTGATACTACCTGACCTCCAGATGGAGTTTCGCCCTTGCAGAATGACTCCAGTAAACAGAGTGAGATGAAGGGCATCCACCTCGAGCCACTGGTGCCGGTCCTTATACTCGGCACACCAAGCTCCATCATACAGATCTCCATCCTCAATGCCAGACTTGGGGAAAAAAGGAAGAGAAAAAAAGAAAAACGCATGTCTCAAAGAGTCCAAGAAACACTCCCTGAAAACTTGAGGTTTGGCCTTCGTGTGAAGCATTGCATAAGAGTGCTGACCTAATTTTGAAAAAATTACTTTCAGACTCCAGACTCAAGATTTTGGACCGCAGAACAAGAGGAGTGGACGGCTGCAGTGATAAACACCTCTGGCTCTGCATTCATCAAATTATTTTATTTAATTTTTGTACATTTTTTTCTTGGAAGAAACAATGAATCGATTTTATTTTATTGGCTAATGAGCCTGCTAAGTTAAAGGGTGGATACTTTATAATTTATAGTTCCTGTAATAAACACTAGAAATAAGTATTTAAGTTAAATATGACAACTTGAAAGGAATGGCTAATCCCATTATGAGATCAAATTAGTCAAGATATCTGATTATAGAATAGAATAGAATAGAATAGAATAGAATAGAATAGCCCTTTATTGTTATTGTACATGTACAACGAAATGGTGGATTGATTTTGGCTGAACCAACTCAGCTTCTCTACTTTTAATAGAAATACACACTTACTTTACTTGCCACTTTATTACAGAAATACATTATTTCCTCACCGATTTATCAAGGTACTAGAAACATGTCTCTAAGATTTTGCTCCACATTGACATGATGGCATCACACACAGTGGCTGCAGATTTGTCAGCTGCACATTCTCAATGTGAATATCCCTTTCCAGCTGCATCCCAAAAGTGCTCTGTTGAGTAGGGCTCTGGTGATTACGTAGAGTATTTGAGTACAGTGAACTAATTTTTATGTTCAAGAAAGAATGTTCAAGACTTTTTAAATGAAGCAGTGTCTTTCCAAATTTCTGTTTTCTAATTTTGGTGAATTGTGGCCTTAGTTTCCTGTTCTTAGCCAATAGCATTTGCATCTAGTAGGTCTTCTGCTGCTGTAGCTTCAAGGCTCGACTTGTTGTGCATTCAGAGATGCTATTCTGAAAGATTATTTGAGTTACGGCTGCCTTCCTATCAGCTCAAAGCAGTCTGGCTAGTCTCCTCTAACCTCTGACACCAACAAAGCATTTTCTCCCAGATAACTGAAGCTCACTGGATATTTTCTGATGTTTTTCAGACCATCCTGTGTAAACCCGATAGGTGCTTGTGTGGGTAAATCCCAGTACATCAGCAGTTTCTGAAATGCACAGACCATTTGGCACCAATAACTATGTCACATTCAAAGTCACTTATATCACCTTTCTTCCCCATTTTGATGTTCAGTTTGAACTTCATCAGGCCATCTTGACCATCTGTGCATCCTAAATGCACTCAGACGCTGCCTTATTATAGGTTAATGAGATATTTGCATTAACAAACAGTTGAACAAGAGAACCTAACAAAGCGAGAATAAATTTCTAGCTAATTGAATAGAAACCCCCCCCAAAAAAAACAAAACTTCAAAGCACCAGACATTTAATAATGTTTTACAACATCCCAGTGGACTTTCTTGTCACTTTGGACCAAATCCTTTATTCCACATTAATCTGAGTCTCAAGTAAAGTAATTCTAACCGTGACAAAAAGTAACTGTAGTTTTTCCTGGACCTTTATGCTGACGTTTCTCTTCACTATGGTGATAAATTAAACATCTGTAGATTTTGCACGTTGACAGAATAATTTTTTTTTTAACTGTTTTTAATACGCTTTGCATAGAAACTGGAGATTCACACACACACAACATTTGAAACATAACAAAATAGTATTCAGTTGGTTCTGCTTGATTCATCAAATTTAATCTATTCAAATTCATGTCTTTGAAGCAGCAGTCAATCTAAATTAACTAATAAAGGTAATTTTAGGTTGTATTTCTTTATTTGATTTTCAAAGGGGCCAAGTTTTTAAAAAAATGTGTGCAGTTTGTTTATGTTAATAAAATTTAACAATGCTTTCCAAAATGCTGAGAGATGAGTGTCTGTGATAGCCTCTGACCCACTGACCTGGATATTCAGCCTCCCCCTGTGAGGACCTAGCCCCGACCGCTGGTAGGACGAAGCTTGAATCTGGCTGTCATCAACTCGCAGAGACTCCAGGCCGAGGGGAGGACAGTCTGCGCGGAAAACAAAAGTGAATCATCACGCGATAAGATCTTCTCTGGGTTTCTGTCTCCACATGTTGATCCTCTGCAGAAGCAGCTCTGAGATTGACAGCGGAAGGGTTAACCTTTCTCTCTCTTTGTGGTTTGTCTGAGTAAGCAAACACATGCCAGATGTAAAACGAGCTCCAAGCTGTTATGTGAAATATCTCTGATCATCTTGGGCCAGTTCTGTGGAAGTTTGAAGGCCCCTCACCTCCTCCTCCCCCTGCTCTGCTTGTTTCGGGGAGTAGAGGAAGCTGCAGATATTGGAAATAGTGGAGGCTTTGGATGTAATTTGAGACAAAGTGCAGAAAAGTCAAATGTTCAGCAGATCAGGGAGGTGAGAGCTACAGCTGCAGGGGATTCTGTGGTTTAGGGAACAACTAATAACATTCACATCAGTCACAAGCAGGTCAAAACAGCTAAATCCAACATAATGAGCAACAGCAAGTATTACAAGCAGTAACAAATGCTAAACAGTGTTATACAGCTGTGTATAGCTGAAATACATATTCCTTTAAGTGACTGACTGAGAAGAGATTTTTAAAAACTAAGCTAAGCTAAAACTAAACTTCAAACTAACTTTACTGGGATTTTTTTGACCTTCTATGATTGTAAATATAATATAATAATAGCAATAATTATCTCCATCTACTTTTACAGCTTGATTTGTGTTAAAGGTTTTAAAAAGGTAGGTATCACATTTTAATTGCCTCTTTAATTAATATGGAGTTAATACTGGAGCTCATAACACAGCTTCATGCAAAAATCAGACTAAATGGGTAATTTTTTTCCTACCCAGTTTCGATTTGTCATCTTCAGTCTTGCGGTCTCTTGGGTCTTTCTCTTTCTTGTTTCTTTCTTTGCTGGTGTCCGTGGTGTCCAGCTGTTTGTCTCTGACAGTGGTGGTGAAAATGTCTGGGTCTGCTGTTGCTGGAGTCGTTCCGTCCCTGCTCTCGCCCTTCACAGCCTCGGTCCAATTCAGAGTTGGCCTTGTTGTTGTTGTGTAGTTGATTAATGCATAACTCTTAGTCGGTGCTGGGGTGTTTATCAGTGCTGCAGCACTGTGTGTCAAAAGTCCCAGAAAAAGCACTGCAGGCAGCATGCACAATGACTTTTCCATCCTGGTCTTTGTTGCTGGAGAAGAGTGAGGGGGGAAAAATTCCCCTTTGGTTTATGAGATGACAGAGCCAGACCTCCATCCACCTCCTCCTCAGTCCCACCTCCCCTTACTCCCTCACTCTTCCTCCCTCCCTCCCAAAATTCCAGCTGAAGTCCTGCAAAAAATTGTGACAGCAAATGTATCTGTGCGTGGTTACAATATAGGCTGTGTGTGCCCGTGGGAACCAAACACTGAGCTGCCTTCAAAAAATTTGTTAAAATGATGATTAGAAATGTGTTTATCATAACAAAGTGAGCATGTAGTTTTATAGCACTTGACAAGTGGGGTTTCTAGTCCTCTTATAATGATTCAGACTTACTGTGCCAAGCTCTTTTGAACAGGACTGCACAAGTTGTCCACAATGAGTTAAAAAA